CCAGGTGTGCCTCCCCGGGGCTCAAAGGGGGCCCAGCTGGGAGGTTGCTGTTCTGGTCCCTACTTAGGAAGACGGAGGCAAAGAAATCATTAAACATGTTAGCTTTGTCATCTGGTGTGATGACAAAGTTTCCCAACGCATCCTGCAAGGGCCCCACATTACCTGGGACCTTCTTTTTACCCCCTATGTATTTAAAAAAAGACTTCTTATTGTCCTTAATCTGGGAAGCTAGCCCCAGTTCCATGATTAATGCCACTTTTCAAAGGTGTTCTTCAGAGGTAACAGGGAAGCCAGAACACATCTGGGGGCTCTGCCAGCAGTTGTGTTTTATGTAGTTACCTGCTCAACAAAGGTATATTTTATATTTTTCATATAAAACTTAGTGCGGTGTGTCAAAATCCTGTTTCTCCAATTCTTTCCTTTCTGAAGTGGGCTCTCATTGGATTTTAGGAGAGACCTGGCCACTTATTTGTCTAAAAAGAGTGAATGTTAATTGCAGAAAGATTGGCTTTGTAGAAAATAGAAATGTTTATGAATTTGTCTGTTTGTTTCCATGGTGGGTGTCAGGCAATGAGGGATAGTTATTTTGCCTGCCCTGCAGGACATGCTAATTTGTAAGAGCTTAAAAATAAAAAACAATTTCACATGTATATAAATGCAATATGCACATTTAATGAGCTTACCAAATAATTGTCAAACTGAACAGACTTTCTAGGTGAACATCTAAATGTGTGGTAACTTAAAGCCTTATTTTTGTGATATATTTCATGTTAGTGACAGCTTCCTGCCTAAGATTATTTCTGCCACATTTATTGAAATTAATTTAGAGAAGTTAAACTTTTCAAATTGGTTTGGTATTTAATACAATTTGGAAAAAAATTAGATTTTTAACAAATTTGCCACCTGGCAATTTTACAAATCTTGAGATTGAAGCTGAAATGTTCCTCCTTCAGCACAGCTGTGCACGCATGCACTGTGTGTGTGTGCACATGCATACACATGCATTCATACATGCACCTTTTTCAGTAGGGGACAGGGGAGGAGACAGAAAGGAACCTGGCTCTGATGATTACTTTGGGTACTGGTGGTGTTTATGAATTGGGAGAATATGCTGTGTATGGTTCCAGTCAGAATTAGGGATTAAACTGAGGTAGCCTGTGGGGGGCTCAGTTTCTTGGTGGTTCCAGGAACTGTTTCAGAATCTCTACTTTCATTTAGAAGAAAAGGGGGAAGGGTACCTAAAGAACTAGCTCCTTTGTTTGGGAGATGTCTTGAGAGGACAGTAAATCATGAATATGGTGACAAATAATTGTAAACAATAGAGCTACATGTATACACATAGGAAAGGTCCCTGTTTGGCTTAAGTTTTTCTTCCGTGAAGCATAATGGTGACTGTTTGAATGTCAGCATGGTTAATTACCAAGTTCAAACAGCCATCTATGCAGTTTGTAGTTATGATCAGTGAAATTGCTGATGCTTGATGTTCCTCAATAGAACAGAGGGGGAAATTTATTCTCTAAATGTCCATGGGCTTTGCAGTGTCCATCCATCCCTGGTCTAAAATAACCTGGCTTTATCAGTTTCTGGGGCAAGCAGCAGAGTACACTTGTGTTTCCAGCCCTTGAAGATAGGTAGGAAGATGAAGGTATAGATAGATACATCATAGAAAGGCCAGCTTGCACTTGAGCTATTGCTTGGCAAAGAAGGCTGAGCTGGTTGAACTGCATATTTGGGGTCAGGAATTTTAAAAACATTGGTGTTGGTGCTTTTCAGGAGAGATTATAGCAAGTTCCTGCATTTTTTTCACTGTGCTTATGAAGAGGGAATTGCTTAAAAAGGCAGCTTCCTTTACAAAGGGTATTTTCCCTTCCTTGAATGAAGTTTTTGACAGGTTGTGGTTAGTGTAAGAGAAGAGTTTAAGAGTTTTTATAAGGAGAGAAACATATTAATTGAATAAGATTGGACATGTTCTATGGCACATGTTTCAAGTAAAATTTGTAAATGGTTTTAAATTAAAAAGGAGGGTGGTGGTGGGGGCTGGGATTTGGGGCAGGCATTTAAGTCAAGTTACCCATTTTGTGATTTACCATGTACTTTGCCAGAAGTGAAAGGCAGCACCTACAGCATACCAAAGAGAAGTCTAAACATGTCACTTTCAAGTGGGTTTACATGCTTCTGGAACTGAACTGTCAGGTTGAATATCTCTATTAAATATGAAATGCACCTCTCTGAAAGTCTCAGATTAAAATGCAGACTCTGTACAGCGGCTCATGCAGCAGTATGACTTGGGGAAATGTACAAGATAGTGCTTCAGCTTTGATAATACAAAACAAGTTGCCAGCTGTTAAATCTGTCAGGCCCAGGTCAGTGACAGGTACAGTGCTAGCCTGTGTTTGTTTGTGTCTTGTAACAGATTTGGAAGTGTTGGGAAAACTATTTTTTTTCTTTCTGCTTAGAACAATTGAAAGCTTCTATATACACTCAAAGCATTCCACCAATGATTTAAAATTATGATATCAAATACAAATTTAATTTTGCTCTCTCTTATATAGCAGCATCCCTAGATACAAAGGACATGTCATTGTTTTGTCTGATTGCTATGTCTTGAACCATTGTAATATAGCATAGAAAATAATACTTGCACAAATTTACTCTGCTTTTAGATCTTATGGCAACTAAAAGATCAATTTCTGAGCTTTTGCTGCATATTGTAAGCCTTATACTTATTCCCCTAACATTGATATGGTATTAAAATGTTAAGGCTCCCTTTCTAATGCCAGGTAACCTCTGGTTGCAAGATGGCTTGCTCTGATTCATGGAAGTTAGGAGCTGGAAGGGACCTCAGAGATCATCAGGTCCAGCTCCCCTGCATTCGTTGAGAATATCTTATTTCTTTATATGTATTTACAGCCAAAGATTCATGTATATTATGACTAAGACTAGCATCTGATCTAGAGAAATGTTGATAGATTTTTGGTGGTTACATGGCTGTTTAGAAAAAGGGATAACAGGGAGAAGCAGAAATGGAATTAATTATAGACAGACTATGGAAGTCTGATTTTGTTTTTAAATGCCAAACTTCGCAACTTTAAAAAACACAGGAGATGAGGACTTCAGGATAAAAGCAGGGGATGGGGACTTCATGCAAAGTTACAAGGGTGGGCGGATGAGAATACGATGGGATTCAACACCGACAAGTGCAAAGTGATGCACCTGGGGAGGAACAACCGGCACCATACCTACAGGTTGGGGAATTCCATTCTTGTCAGTACAGAGGCAGAAAAGGATCTTGGAGTCATCATTGAGGCCAAGATGAACATGGGCCGGCAGTGTGGGGATGTAGTCAGGAAGGCCAACCGTACCTTGTCATGCATCCACAGATGCACCTCAAGCAGGTCCAAGGAGGTGATCCTCCCCCTCTATGCGGCACTGATCAGGCCGCAGCTGGAGTACTGCGTCCAGTTCTGGGCGCCGCACTTCAAGAGGGATGTGGACAACATGGAGAGAGTCCAGAGGAGGGCCACTCGCATAA